TACTCGATTAGTGGCAGTGAGGATGTCTTGGACATGCAACTTGTAATATGTTAGGAGACTGAGCTCTCCCAGGTATTTTGGCTTACATCTAAAGCAGCAGAGAAGACAGAGGAATGTGTGAAAACAGTGGTCCCAAATTTTCTTACACAGTTGTAGGCTATTATTATTGTTAGTAGTAGTAGTAGTAGTAGTATTGGTAAATTGAAACACTGAGCTTCTAAATTATGCACTTTAAAGAAAAAGGACAATAGCTCTCTCTAACATCTTTCAATTAATTGTCATACACATTGTTTTTTTGTATATGAGATTATGTTGTAGGTCTGCAGTTGCTGCCCTTTTTGTGTATTTCTTGGCATTTCATCCCCTTCTTTAATAGGTTACTATTGTCAGCCATGTTCATCTGTCATTGATTATATATTTTTTTTTTAAATAATATGCTCAAAATAGTGGGTTTGCATCTCACATAACTGTAAGTAATCCTAATTTTTCAACATAGATATCATTACCCTAATATCTAAGCCCTTTTTATAATAATAATAATGTTGGTAGTAGCAATTTTATCTGTTTCATGTGCTGAAATTTCAGCTTTATGATTTCCATATTGGTGGTATCTGGAATTATTCAAAACTAACAACACAGCTCCAGTCTGGAGCATCTTCTTTCAAGGTTGACTGTGTCTCATCCAAAATGCGCTATGTCTCTAGGCTGATTGGCCTGCCCGTTCGTGTCTTGATTCTGTGATATTCTCTAGGGCTAGAAAAGAGCGTCCTATTAAGTACCTCATGCTGATCAAAAGAATTCTGAAATGAGCAAGTTGTGGGGTATAAATGTCCTTAATATTTGTGAAAAATATTTTGGGAGATTTTTATTTTACTCCAACAGTATAAACTATGAACAGCTCATGAAAAGAAGAAAAGGAGGGAGAGAAAAAGGTCTTTTTTCAAAAAGAAAAACAGTGCTATATCTTCGCAAAGCTCATTCTAGCAGATGCTGAAATTCCTTAGCATCCTTAAGTGCTTTTTGTTATTATTTCCCTTCCTAAATAAATGAAATTGAAGTTCCCTGTCTAACTAAGTGCTTACCTTAATACTATGCAGTTTTAACTGTGAAGCTTTTTAGACTTTGCTTAATATAAGGAAGGCAATGATTGTATTCTGTATTTGTTTTATTGTTCAAGTAATATTGTTGACAGTGGTTGCGACGGTAGGCATTTTCTAGAGTAAAAAGACAGTACCCAGATTTCTTCCACTAACCGAACATGGATGCGTTGAAAAACTACTCAACTTCTCATGCCATGTGGCAAATCAGTCTTAAAAACGCTTGAAAAATATATTCGGGGAGCTGGATCTTATGTTGCGTGATCTGGGAGGGAGACTGCAGCCTTGGGGTAGAAGTGCAATGGAAGACCCATTCCTGACCTGGGGGACTCCACAGACAGCACAGCTCCTGGTCAGAAGCCTGTGGAAATTAGCTCATCCTGATCAGCTAAGAATAAATCAAACAGGCAGTGAAAAGCTCTAAGGAAATTAGGATGGGAGTAACAGAGATGGAGAGAATCCTTTGAAAATATCTTGAGTAAAACTAGTATGCAAATGCTGTTAATGGTCACTAGAAATCAGGAACCTGATTAATATATTCTACTGTAACAGAGTTGTTCTTATTACACAATGAATAGATGTAATTCTGTCCACAGGAACTCTGAATATCAATATTTTGGCATTCAAGGAATTCTGTGCATTTCTCCTCCTTCTCCTTTTAACCCAATGCCAGCAGCAACTTTTACTTCCTTTTTATCCCATCTCCAAAGTATCTTTCTTCCCTTGGCAGAAAAAGATTAACAGAGAAATGCTATAAGGCTCAATACCAAACTTTATGTTTTTTTCAGAAACACAGGAAACACTAAATTCCTTTCTATCCCTTCTAGGAATGAAGGCCAAAAATTTATCACAGAGCAACATTAATATAAGAGTATTTAAGGACTTAAATAAATAAACTTTAATAAACTTATATTTTCAGCACAGAGCAGATGGTGTTTGACAGACCTGCCTGAAGCTATGTAACATCACATGCCATGCTATTTATTTTTCAATAACGTGATTTACTAAACAAATTTCTCCTTCTTTGAAATCATACAGTGAAGATGGGGGGTTGTATCCAGATTAAAAGGCAGTAGCCATTTCATAACAGGTGAAGAACACTTAAAATTCCCAGATAAGTAAAAACTGTGCAGAACATGAGAAGTGTCTCTATACTTCATCCGTATTCATATTTGTAAAAAAATTTGCCATTGAGAGAGCTCAACTGGATCTCTGTCCACTTGGTCTGGTAGCCTGTTTTCCAGCACAGACTGGTTGATGACATTTAGCATCTCAGACAGCACGTAGGCATGATTCGGGCAATTGCACAGAGCAGGGAGTTTTTCGCTAAGCAGAATAAAACAGGCTTTTCTCTATTTTGGAGGGAGAAGGGGCTGGCCAGATGGATATTGACAGTTTGTGTTTTGTGGCCTAAGGGGCACAGAAGGTTCCCAGTTGTCTTGTGTTTCACAATAGGATGTACCTTAAGGGCCACTGTTTATGTAATTTAAAACTAGACTAAAAAAGTTACAGGATAAATTTTAAGAGAGGTTTAGGAGAGGTGTTAGATGTAGGCTACCACGGGCCTACTTTTAGTGATAGTTTCCTCCTATGAGCAATACAAAACACCCAGGTTAGGAACATAAATTATAAACTTCTAAGTCAATCTCAAAATCTCTACTTTTTTCCAATGACCATTTAGGGACTGTCAGGAGCCTTTGCTCCTAAACAGTGCAGTTTATCAGATGCTGAATTTATTCAGTGTCATTGTATCCTGTAGCTGTCATTGTATCCTGTAGAAGTTGTCCCAAGTTCCTATTCAGGACAATTTTCTGACCTCCTAAATGGGTGCCAAGCATTAAGTGCTTGACCTTGCATGTTGGTGGTGAACAACAGAATACATCTGCCCTGCATGAGATCAGTGAAGAAGAATTGTTTACTAGTTGTTTTGTTTGAGAGCCGTAAAATACCATCCTGGTGTCATGGTGTTTGCTTTTTGATTATTCACATTGTGTTAATATTCACCACAATATGCACAATATTCCCTGATTTTATGGGGGGAAAAAAAGGTTTTCTTTGCCCCAGCAAAAAATATCTTAAAACATTTTGTGTGGTTATGTATCTTTCTAAGCCAATGTATTAAAGCTTAAAAAATGAAAAGGAAGAGAAGAATCTAAACAATATTACAGAAATTTAATTATTTGACTGGGAAAATAAAGAATCCCAGAACGGTAATGTCACCAAGGATACCTGGTTCAGCTAGTACACAGCACACAGCTGGAGTAATTGAAAACTTTCTTAGAATATAGCTTTGTAGTCTAAGAGACTAGGAACCTGGCTAAGACTAGCTCATCTGGCAGTCCCCGTTGTACCATTTCAACAATTAGGAGAGACTTCCTATACCAAACTTATCTGCCCAGGTCTGCCCTGTTTTTATTGTGGAATTTCAGCTTGAAAAATTATAGATTATGTACACATATGACAGATGCTGTCTTGGACAAAATACCAGGGACTGAATTCAAGGCATCTACAACTAAAAGCATGTGCTGAAATTGCTTAGGCTAAAGAGCTGTAGTTCTTTAGCTGGGGAGCAGAACAACTCAGTCAAAGGATGAACACAAGAAAAGTGAGATAAAAATATCGGCGGGTTACAGAGATGCCTCCTCTTGTGTCATAGCAAAGACTTTCTCTATTTTTTGGTGTCAATTTGTATGATTAACTCCAGAATTTGTAATGGATTCTTTTTAAAAACCTAAGAGGTAAATTTGTGTTTTATATTAAATTCTGGTGGCACTTGATATTTTTGTGTTTGTATTTCTAAATAAAAAAAGGGGATGGGTTTTACAGATATCTAAATGATGATAAATGCATTGGCCTCATATGATAATTAGAATTACAGACAGTAATAGAAAGCAGGCGTTCCCTCGAAAGAATGCTTAAAGCAGAAGACTGGAACACAGGCCACTTGCCAATGTGGCCACGTAGAGCTGATAACAGTGCTGTACATTTGAGAGATCATTATTGAAAAGGTATGTTTAATCCCCAAAAGTGACTTCTCAATAGTTCCCAGAAACATATGCTATTAGGCTCAGCTGGAAATAGAAGATCACTCTTAATCATATGCAAGGAACAATTCTAAATAGGAGTATTTGAAAACAGCATTGGGAAGGAAAAAGTACTGCCAGAAAGAATGGAAGATCATTTTGATTCTTGATGAAAAGCTATCAAACAGAGCTCAATGTGATAAGAGATGTGACAAATCTTTAGAGAAGCAGTTTTCTCTTCAGGGAAAGGTAATACAGCTGACAAAGTCACTTAATGCTTTTTGTACCACTGAACCTAAAAAAATATTTTTCTTTCATTGGTTATGAGCCACAAAAACCTTTTTTCCCCTTTTTTAATCTTCGTGAGGATTTTTGCTTTGAGACTTCCTGCAGGAAAGTGTTTTAAGTGGAATTCTTCTTTATACTGCACCTAATGTCTGCCAATATGATTCCTGTTACAGGCATAGGGACCATTTTCCTTCTGTCCTCAAGCTGTGTTGCTGCTTATTATCATGTTTAACATTCCCAGTGCCTGGGAGGATGGAGATTAGAAACTCTTAATATTCGTTTTATAGTGAAAGGTCTTGCCAGATTTTTGGAGTATAGGCTATAATATATGCACATAATTTATTGGTGGAAAAGTTCTGAACTCTCCAGTGAGTCACTGTAATCTTTCTTCTTATCATTTTAGGATTGTTTTAAAATAATCTGCTATGCCCCCCGCACGTAAACATGTTAAAAACATTACATTGGAAATAACAACTTGATGGAAGCAAACAAAAAGAGATGCACAGATTTCCTTTGTTAAATCTGTACTTTTTCAAAAAAAGTATACTTTCTGGAGTATTTTTCTCTAACTCCAAAATTTCATTTTTAACAGACTGGAAGGAAGGAGAAGGGGGACCCACTCAACATTGCTATTGACAAGATGACCAAGAAAACACGAGACCTTCGAAGACAGGTAATTTATGCTTTTTATAATGCTTCTTGATTTTCCAAGGAAGTCATTGCTTTTCAACTTCAGACTGGTTTTGCCACTTGTAGAAGTATAAAGAATTTGTGTCCTTATTTAGATATGACACTACATTGCACATGACATTAAGCAAAGGAATAGTATTTCCTGAGCCAAAAAAAGGGAGACTGAAGCATATTCCAAGTGTAACCCCCCATGGTCTTAATATGTGGGAGGGTAGGCAGATTGGCCAGACCTTCCCTGCCTTTGCAGCCCAGCAACCCCAGACATAAAAACACTGGCATATGTGCTTATTTGTATTTATTTGAATATTCTCATTGAAATAACAGGAATGATGAGCAGAATATGAAAAAGTTTGTAAAAGCAGAATATTTTCAAAGAAAACTTCTAAGGTACCTTATTAAATAAAGATCCTATGAAGATACAGAGAAGGCTAATAAATAACAGGTTGCCCAGAGAGGTGGTAGATGCTCTATCCCTGGGAAAATTCAAGGTCAGGTTGGACGGGGCTCTGAGGAACCTGATCTAGTTGAAGATGTCCCTGCCCACGGCAGGGGGGTTGGACTAGATGACCTTTAAAGGTCCCTTGCAACCCAAACTATTCTATGTTTCTATGATTCTATGAATAACTGTAAAGCATAGTTTAAACCATAAAGGTTGACTTTCTTATATTTATCATTGTGTTTGGTAATAAGACTGAAAGATTTGTTCAAAAAGCTTCAGATGGAAAAGAATAGAAGGGAGATTGGCAAACAAAAGGGAGAAACCCTCTATAGATTTCTCTTTACACTTTTAAAGTTAAGGCAGGAGGGATTGCCTCTTTTTACCTCTATTTTCTCCTTTTGAGATGATCCCAATTCTGCATTTTCTGTACAAATTAAAAAAAAAAAAAAGAAATTCTACCTGGCCAATCAAAGGTTGCCTCTGTGACAATGATCCAAAATTAACAAACCTGCAAGACCAAATAAGGACTTAAATGTATCTTCAGATACCTACTTGCAACATGATAGTTTCAGAAAGAGTGGCCCCTATAAGCATTTTGAAATCAGTGCTCTGCACTGCTAAAACTCAGCTCATTTCATCTCTTCCTTAACTCTCAGCAAACGTGTTTGAGGATCATCTTCTCAGAGCTTATTTCTCCAAATAATAAAAATATTGCAATGGACTTACAGACAATATGAATCATTGACTCTCCTGTATAAAGCCTAGGATCACATCTGTTGCTTTGCTAATGACAGAAGAAAAATCTCTGCTGTTCTGACCTCCAAATTTGTGGGATCCTAGGTTCTGCAGTGGAGCTTGTACCATGTGTTGCCTCCCACCTCTGTTCTTATTGCTTGAAGGAAGTAGCAGACTAACACATGAGTTGCTGTTCTGTGTGAGGCTCTCAGGAGTTGCCTGAATTACTCATCTCTAAAGCCAAATTTACTCCGAAACGTGATATAAAAATGGCACCTTTCTTAATAAACTGTCTGCTGCTCGTGTATATTCAGCCCCACGGGTGTTGAATTCAATCTCAGAAAGGTTGGAACTCTGTACGTGGGTAAAGTGAAGCACATAAATAATATCCTCCTGCTTGGAGATGAAGCTTTTAATATAGTTTCTGATATTTATGAAAGATAATCACGTAGGTAATAATGTTTATTAAATCGTGGCAGTTGCTAGTAAACTAATCAAGATTAGATCATAATTGTACTAGGTTTTGCACAAGCATAGAGGAAGGTGGAGTCTCTGCTTTCAACAATGTGTAGTCTGACTATAAATCATTATCCTTTAGAATCATAATCAATGTTCTGCTTCATCAGATGCATAATCAACAGTATACATGTGTGTCTCTACCCAGACCTGCCTTTACACCCCCTGCTAAATTTCAGAATATGAGGATGTCACTGAGGGCTTAGTTTAATGGCTGGGGAGAGGGGCTTGAAGATTAGGAAGAAATGAACCACAGTTGAGATTGCAGTGTTATACTATTTCAGTATTTCTATTTTGGGCTAAATCACAGGAGAGACAACCAACTTTGAATACCATAATGTCTTTTGGTTTTAATTAATCCCTTTTAAAGCAGCCTTGCTTGTCAGATTTATGAAGCTTAATGTTATCACCATAAAACTGGACAATCTAAAAATATGTTTTGGTAATGAAGAAGGTATATATATTTCATTTGGTAGTCAGGCTCCCTTGCAAGGGCTTCAGTAGTCAACCATCTAAGACTGATTTTTCTTTCTCTCCCCAGGTTACTTAGCTCTTTATTTCTGAGATTTTATTTGATTATCTACAGAACACGCAGACATGTAAAATGATTGTGGTTGGGATACACGGGGCTAAAATTCCATCTGCATTTTACAGTCACATCAATATTTCCTATTCTGATGGAATTACATCTTTTATACTCACATTTAAAATCTCCTGGGCATTGGAAAACTGTTATGGAGATTTAATTATATGTCTTAATATAAATGTCAGTGAGAACATCAACCTAAGTCAGACTGAACAAGTTCTTGGAAGCAGACAAGTCTCACCAGCCCATAGCTTACTGCTGCCATTTCTTACTTTATTTTGAACGATTTGGAAAAAGCACAGAGTTCTGTGTCTGATAAAAAGTTGTACCAATTGGCAAGATTTGGGGTCTTTTTCCCCCCGGTACACAGGTCTGTCGTTAAAACAAACAAACAAACAAACAAACAAAAAACAAAACCAAAAACCTAAAAGCTAAATAAAAGCATCTTTCACTGTGTGGTACAGCAAGCTAGACAGCAACAGGGTGCTTGTTGATGCCAGTATTTTGTTTGTTTGTTTTACCTCCATAGGGAAAAAAAAATACTAACCCTATAGTTTAAATACCACAGCTAATCATGAAGCAGCACGCACACACAGCATTTCAAGCATTGTAGCTCTGTGATGACATTGAAACAAAGATAAGCAGGAAGGACACACCAACGAATTTGGCTAACACACAAACTGGATGCCTAGCAAGGACCAACACGGTCTATAGATCATTTGGAGTTGTATGAGCAGGGCACCAGCTGTTCTGCTGTCACCACCACTGGTGTCCCACCTGTTAGTGCCGCTGCCGCCTGCCCTGCTGCCATCGTCTCTTTGCCTTGTGTCCTGTTCCAGTTGATCAGTTGAGCTTGTTCAATCTGTATTAGCCAGTCGGTTTCGCCGCAAGGTATAATAACCAAAACCATTAGTTTTCTCTTAAAGAGCAGATATCTGTACTGCTATTAATTTTAACAGAGCAGCCTGTCTGCAGTATTTTATACAGTAGATTGAAATCAAATAATTCTTCATTTTTGTTCATTCAAGCCAGACTAATACTTCGTATGCCTCCAAGTGGAAGGAACTGTAAAGAAATAGGAAGATTTTTTACCAGCGATTCTCAGTTTATACTGGAAATGATGCTCTCATATAGCTGTTAAGGACAATTCATCCACCTCCTGCAGACTTAGGTTTATGTCATTGCTAAAGCTAGTTAGAAATACTTTATGAAATAAGTACTCACAGAAAATTTTCACTTTCTTTAAAACTGAAAAACATCAGAAATTATCCAGAAATTTAATATTGAAAATAATTTTAAAAAGTCTGACGGTGTTCAAAAGTCACATTTGGATTTTTTTCGGTAGTTTCAAATTTTCATTTTGAAAGTTAGTAGTTTATTTTAGCTTTGCATTGCAAGTATAAATATACACATATAAATAAATATTGAAAATTAAAAATATATTTTTAGAATTGCCAAGAATGTTTTCCATTATTTTAAGGTGTTTTGATCATTTTGAAATTTCCAGGTTTCATTCCAAAGTAGAGTAAAACAAAAATCAAAAAAGTACTATATTTTGCAGTTTTAGGCAACAAAACTTTATTATAAAACATATTAATAGGAAATGTGAAGTGGAAAGTCCAGAAATAACTACATTACCAGTTGCATTTCAATAAATACTTTGAATGTTTAGACTGATGTCCTGGGCTTTTGTTTTACTGGAGTGGATGTCTAATAGAAATTAATGCTATTGTTAGATATCTAAGTCTATGTGTGCAGTATCAAACGGTATTTTTTGTCATCTGATTATTGTTTAGTGACCTTAGACTATGTGTTGTTGGTGTAACCCCGTTCAACCTGTTGGGCAGGTACCATAAAAAGCAAAATAACATCAACATCCTACTAGTAACTACATACAGTTAGTAGCTAGGATGGTGATTTTGAATATGGAAACCTGTCATCATTTCTGGACTCAAAATACCTGTGCTTGTTCTCATGGTCTCTGATTTTCATATTTCTTCTCATTTTCTCACATCCATCCTTCTCCTCTCTGCTGCTACCTCTTTTGCTGTAGCTCACTTGTTACTCTAGGCTGGTCAGTGAAATGCAGGAAGATGTAAGGCTGGTCTTGGCACCTGCTCTGCCAATTGGCCAGCTGGTACCCGCACGGTGGTCAGCCAGCTGGTACCTATGTTGATACGCTGGCCAGCCAGCTACTGACTTCACATTACAAATTTGCCTGTATAGGACTCTAATTCAGGTCACTGTTCTCCTACCCAGACAATTTTTCATCAGACTTCAGCTATTTAGTATCCTTAACACCTTTTCTGTCTGTCAGGTGGTTTTAAAATTGGCCACCAGATTAAAATGTATTTGAAAAAATGGACAGCCTTACTGTAATGAACCTCATTTCCTCAGAAAACCAATCTAGAAACAAAAGCCTTTATGGTCAAGACTATGGTCCTGTTCTGTTTTACTCTGTTATCTGCAATAACACTCCAAATTTTCAAAGGTATATTTAATTTTGGGACCCCCTACTGCACTATTTTGCTAGTAATATTGGTATTGTATAACTATAGCATGTTATTATCCATAAATAAACCCTTCAATATGATTTCTACAGTGTCATGTAGCTTGTTTTCCCATATGATTTTCCAAGACTGGGTTTCACGTGTGGCTGTGGTTTGTCATTTAAAAGTTGATTATTTAATCTCAGCTACTTTGTAGG